GAACTCCAGGACATTTTACACTGATTCTGTATTACAGGCGTCCCTGACTTACAACATACTCCAGTTGCGACAAACCACACTGTGTGTTTTGTGTCTGTCCTATGGGTAACACACACTATAGACAATGGTGCAGTGCACAAGCTGCCGATGCTGTCTCATGATAACCCCCAAAGACAAACAAGAGACTCGGTTTATGAATATATTGATAATAAAATGCAATAATAATGAAAACTGGGGGAAAAGAAATAAAGCATTCAGGTGACATCAGAACCAACTCTCGATAAAGTCATCAGAACAAAACCTCACTGTGAGTTGGAGGCCAGTTGTGTATAATTAACAGTCCATTTCCCAATTCCTCCAATTGTTCCCAAAGTGCTCTTTTTAAAAAACTTTTTATTGTGATTTGGGTGAAAGTTTACAGAGCAATGAGCTTCCTGTTCATCACACACTGTGTTTCTGGCACTGAGTGGCATCCCCACCGTGTAACCGCTCTCTTCCCACTTCCTGCTGTGTTTCCATTGTCCTTTCCTGTCCCTTCCTGCCCCCCAAGCTTTCCCCCTGAACAAGCCACAACGCTCCTCACGTATCCCCCTCCGAGAGGCCACCGAGGCAGAAAGATGCTGGCATTGTACACGTTTATGTGCGTTCTAAGTGACAACCCCAGAAAACGTGATGTGTGACAAGACATCTCGATATAAAAATAATTATCCTGTGGGAGACTAAAGAGGACACACAGGCTAAGTTCATTACGCTTCTCGTTGTACTGGGGTTCGATGCCCTCACGTTCTTTGGACAGACACACTCAAGGCTCGGGTGCAAGGCTGTGATGTACGGGAGCCATGGTCAAACAGCTGAATAGAACTGCACGAGCGTGTGTCCGTGTGTGTCCATGTGTGTGTGTACAAGCATGTGTTCGTGTGTACACATGTGTGTACGAGCGTGTCCATGTGTGTGTACGAGCGTGTATCCGTGTGTGTGAGAGAGCGTGTGTCCATGTGTGTACATATGTGTGTACGAGCGTGTGTCCATGTGCGTACATGTGTCTGTACGAGCGTGTGTCCATGTGCGTGCGTGTGTCCATACACACAGACACAGATGGGGGCAGAGAGGGAGAGGGCAAGCATCCGTGTGCACAAATCCTACAGTAAGCAGGTGACAAACTTAAACTAAGTGAATCTGGACACAGGGCATGAAGATGTTATTTTATAATATTCTTTCAAACTTTCTGTAAGTTTGAAATTTTATGTATATAAAAAACTTTTTTAAAAACAGTCCATTCCCCCAGAGACCAGGCTGAGGCACAGAGGATTATGGGAAGCTAGAGCGAACCCCAAACCTCAACTGGGAAGGAGAAGGGGACAGGTCCTATGTTCATGTGATCCCTGGGTCCCCTTCACTCTCCGACTGTCGGCTGACCTCTCAGCAAGAGACCCCGTGCCTTGAGGCTGAGCGCCGGGAGGCTGCATTTCCCAGCACTGCCGCTAGGGGCAGCCACATGCTGGCGTTCTCGCGCCAAACGAGAACAGTGAACTAGGGGTGCCACTTCTGGGACCCGTCCGCTAAAGCAACTACCTGCCCGCCACTCTTTTCCACCTTCTAGATGGCTAGAACATGGGTGTGGAGCAGCCCTCGACCAGAGACAAGGGCAATCTCCCAGGGAGCGCCCTGCACACCCACTACGGGCAGCCATGAGGCAGAAGAAACGTGCATGTTGCCAAAGCCAAGATTTATGCACCAGACCCAAACCGTGGTCTTTTCAATCGCCTCATATGCACGCAAAAGCTGGACGTTGAATGAAGAAGTCCGAAGAAGAATTGATGCCTTTGAATCACAGTGTTGGAGACGAATATTGAGTATACCACGGACTGGCAGAAGAATGAACAAACCTGTCTTGGAAGAAGCACGGCCAGAATGCTCCTTGGAAGGGAGGGTGGTGAGACTCTGTCTTCTGTACTCTGGACCTGTGGTCAGAAGGGACCGGTCCCTGGAAAGGTCATCGTACTTGGTAAGTAGAGGGTCGGACGCTCAACAACATGGACGTGGCTGCGATGACGGGCTCAAAGGCAGCCACGGCCGTGAGGATGGTGCGGGACCGGGCAAGGTTCTAGTGCCAAAAACCAACCCAGACCCACTGCCATTGAGTGGATTCTGACTCACAGCAACCCCCAGCGGGTCTCCAAGGCTTTACGGAAGCAGACTGCCTCATCTTCCTCCTGTGCGGCGGCTGGTGGGTTTGAACTGCCAACCTTCTGGTTAGCAGTCAAATGCCTTAGGCACCGTGACACCACAGCTCTTGTTCGTTTGTACACGAGGTGGCTAGGAATCAGAACCAACCCGATGGCACCTAACAGCAACAGTGATTTAACCCAGCCTCTTACTGCTAGGGATTGAACCGTGCCCCAGCAAGACGGCTGTCAGTCCTAACTTCGCGTCTGTGGTTATGACCCCATTTGGGAAAGGGCTGTCTTTGTTGTATTAATGAGACAGGATCATGGAGGGTGTGTCTTGAGCCAATGTCTTCTGAGATATAAAAGAGACTAAAGAAGTGAGCAGAGCACGATCATTAGCTATTAGAGAGATACAAATCAAAACAACAATGAGATACCATCTTGCTCCAGCACTAGTAGCAAAGTTCAACAAGACAGAAAATAACAAATGCTGGCGAGGTTGTGGAGAGAT